GAAAGAGAATGGAAACGCCTAGTAGCAGGTGCTGCTGCTGCTGCTGCTGTTGCGGCTGCAGCTGCTGCAGACGCTGCGGCTCAGGGAGCTCCTCCTGCTCCTTCTGCTGCTGCTGCTGCTGCTGCTACTGGCGGAAGTGATGAGGACGGTGTATATGTGCTGCAGCTGCTGCAGCTGCTGCGGGTGATGTAAAAATGCAGCAGCCGCTGCAGCTGCTGCAGCTGCTGCTGCTGCTGCTGCTGCTGCAGCAAGCTCCCACCACCAGGCAGGGCGGTCCTGCTGCTGCGCCGAGCTGATGCTTAGAGACAACTGCTACTCCGCTGCAGCACCTTCGCAGCAGCAACTGCAGCAGCAGCAGCAGCAGCAGCAGCAGCAGCAAAGGAAGAAAGCAGCACTGCAGCGGCCTAGAAAGAGAAGAGGCCCTGTGTGGCTGTTGGTTGTGCTGCAGCGATGAGAGGAAGCGAAGAGAAAACAGGAAATAAAGAAAAGCAAAGAAATAGCCAACAACAAACAAAAACAAAAAAGCAGCAGCAGCAGCAGCAGCAGCAGCAGCAGCAGCTGTAAGCAGCTGCGCTGAGATCCAGCAGCAGCAGCTGCAGCAGCAGATGCAACAGCAGCTGCAGCAGCAGAACAAGGAGAAGGTAGTTTACAATTGACGTCAACTATATATAAAATATAAATAATTTTCTTAAATAAACAAATAATAAAACTCATAAACAAAAATTATTTAATAGATTAACACGGTAGCTCCCCCTGCTGCAGCACTGCTGCGGTATGCATGCAGCCGCCTTTGGGGCCCTCGTACAAAAAGAAGAAGAAGTTTGTTTCTTTGATTAAAATAAATAAATAAATTTAATTGAATATATGAATACATGAGAAAACAGAGGATAACTGCGGTGTACAGACAGCTGCAGGCTCTGCTGCTGCGTCAGCAACTCCTCCCCAATGAACGACCAAAAACTGCTCCATTTATTATTTTTTTTAAATTAATTAATTAAATTTATAATATTTTAATAAGTGACGGTCTAACATCACCATTTCCCTTTTTTTGCTGCCTGCACAATGCTGTGCTGTACATGTATGTACATACACCGCGAAGCTCTCCTTTGACTTGAATCCATCACTACCACAGTAAAGGGTTATATTTATATAATATATTATAATATATAATATAATTATATTATAATATAATATTTAGGGGTTTTCATAGTGAAGAGTTTGCTGCAAATATCGAGGCACCAGCAGCTTGTTGTAGTGTGTAACGCTGGTTCTCTGGCCTTGACCTGACCAGAGACGAGCCGCAATGAAGGCAAAGACTTAAAGTA